TTCAGCCGATACTCCGCTAGCCTAGCAATCGTGAGCAGTCGCTCGTTATTCCTCTCCTTTTAATCCATTGGGTCAAAGGAGAGGAAACGAGCGACTGCTCACGATTGCTAGGCTAGCGGAGTATCGGCTGAACGCAGCCAATGCATATTTTGACAGTTAATTGTCAAAAAGTTAATAGTAAAAAACTAAATAGCGCGCGCAAAGCGCGCGTCTGTGATGTCTATATAGTGAATATAAAAACGGCAAATAAGTATAAAATTTTTAATTTACTTGTTCAAAATGCACAAATATTACTCAAAGATTTCCAAAATATTTGTTGTAAAATTAAAAAAAAAATTTGTTTTGATGTATTGCTAGAAATGTTTAATGGAGAATTTTTGAAATATTTCTAAATTATTTTATGAAAGATATTGTAATTGATAAAAAAAAATGTATAAAATATTTGCCATATATAGCAGAAATATTTTGTAAAAGATTTTTCCTACATTTTTAAAAATATTTTTATATACATTTTTAAAATATTTTTAAATCTTTCATGAAATATTTCATACTAGTCTAATAAAAATATTTCTTATAATATTTGCGTAACATTTAAAAAATATTTTTGTAAAATATTTTCCTAAAATATTTTAAAATGTTTTAAAGATATTTACGAAAAATTGTTAAAATATTTTATTAAAATATTTCAAAAAATGATTCACAAAAAATATATCATGCTGTGTGGGTAACTCCGATTCTCTCACGCCTCCGGTTCCTCCTCCATGTGCTCGCCTTCCTTTGACCTTCTTTTATGCTTCTCTTCCATTTCTCCACCTTCCTCGTTTCTTACTCCGCTGTTCCATCCCTAATTCCTCTCTCTCTTCTCGCCACCCGCCTTTCTTGCTCAACCGGAAGTCCATATATAGGTTATATATATATATATATATATATATATATATATATATATATATATATAACCTATATATGGACTTCCGGTTATATATATATTGTTGCGCTCAACCGCGCGTTCGCTGCACTCACAACATACAGACACACTCGCGAACGCGGCGCGCGATCCCGTTGCCGGGAATAAAGACTCTCAGTAAGAAAGGAACTCGTTTAATGCGGAAATGAGATAATATACAGTCAGCTCGTCAACACGTCTGTTCGGCTCAAAGGCCCGGCGGAGAATCTGAATGCCGACATCTGTCAACAAACAACGACAGGCCCGTCGTCAAGCACGTCGTCAGGCAGCGCTTTGCGACTGCCTTCCGGGTTTCTACCGGGCGTCTCGGCTCGGGCGCAACAATATATATATATATATATATATATATATATATATATATATATACTCAGATAGCCAAGCGTTCCTTGGTATAAGAAAGGAAATAGTGTTTGGCATAAGTTTCCATTCAGTTGTCATCATATTGCTGTCACCAGACAACAGTAATTTCGTTTAGAGCAACTTAAAAGCATTATGCAGACAACGATTACCTTACGCAAACAAGCGGAAAGCTCGTAGCATACTTATTGCCATAAAAGTTGCCACAATCTGTTGGCAACCGTTTTGGTGGCAATAAAAGTCGGCAATTCAATAGGCAAAATCGGAAGCCGCTTTCCTCAATATTAAAAGCAACTTAAGCGGAGCAGTTTTAAGCAAACTGACAGCAACTTACGGGCAACTTGCTATCTGGGTATATATGTATGTATGTATGTATGTATGTATGTATGTATGTATGTATGATATATATATGTCGTAGGCAAATGATTATTTTAGGAAAATAGCTTCTGACTAGGCAAATGCTATCTGCCTGGCCAAATAGCTTTCACCATTTATTCTTGCTATTTTCCTAGTCAAATGCTATTTTCCTAGGCAGATGCTATTTGACTGAACCGCTGTTAGGCAAATGGTATGGTCTCACGCTGGGAGTTTCATTAGTTTAATTATGCGTGGGAAGCACACACACACACACACACACAACGGGGGGGTGCGAGGGGGGGGCCTTCGGCCCCCCCCTCCCCCGCACCCACCCCGCCGGTAGGCTGCGTGGACCTCGCTTTACAACATAAAGTACATGCTAAGTTGTAAAACGAAATTATAAAGTACATGCATGGGGGAGGGTGCAGGGGAGAAAAGCCTTTCTGTTCACGTGCGCTCACGCATGTAAGCCCCCTTGCACCCCTCCATGCATGTGCTTTATAATTTCGCTTTATTAGTTAGCTATTAAACTTTAACTTTTAATATTTTCTTGGGCTTTGCGCTGCTCTTGCCTTTAGCCTTCGACGTTCCCTCTCCTGATTTGGCCGCTTCGCCTCTTTCCTTCTCCGCGGCTTTGTCTCTTTTTCCTTGCTTGCACCTTTTGCAGGAGGGCCCCCCGATTCGGTGTTCATGGGGGAGCCCCTTGCCAAGGCAAACCACACAGCGCACCGGGACCTGGCAGTCGCGCGCCGAGTGGCTGTCCTCGCCACATCGGTAGTACGCCCCGGTGCGGTCCGCCTCGTTTCGGCAGGTCGCGCGGGTGTGTTCGAATTCTAAATACTTAAAACATTGGAGTGGTCTCTTGTCCAGCATGACCACCTTCGCTGAAGACCACCCCAATGCCACCTTTCCCTTTTTGGTAAAGACGTTAGCCACAGCCAACGGGCACTTCACTACGGTGGAGCACAGACCATTGGCCATCCTCCTGATCGGTCCCACCGTGACGTTCGTGATGCCCGTATCTCTCTTTAGCGCCACGGTTTTGCATATTTCGGTCTCTGCGACCGATTCCTCGAAACCGCTCAACCTAATATCAGCCGTCATAGTTGGGCGGCTGATTCTCACCCTCTCCTTGCTGGCCAGGGCCTCCGCCATTTTATTGGCTAACGCGACGGCCTTTTCGGCGTTGCCCTGACCGGCAATCTCCAGGCTTATGGCGCCCGTAACCGTGCGCCTAACGTTGGGGGGGTCTCGTTATGCCGAGGCTCTCCAAGTCGACCTTCCGTCTGACTGTACCCATATTTTCGGCGTACTCGCCTTCCGGGCACGTCAACGTTATCGCGGCCGTTCGCGGCGTGCGCCTCTTCGCTTTTTTATCCTGCTGCAGGGCGAGTTGGTTCTGATCTTTCCCCCCAGGCTTCCCTCCTTGCTCAGGCTTTTTCGCGACATTATTATTTCCGGCGTTCCTCCTCGGCTGTTCGCTTGACTGCCTGAGCCTTGTTTTTGCCCCTCCTTCCCACTTGTGTCCACTCCCCCTCTGTCTTGGACCCTGCGGTACCCTGTGCGGTCCCTTTCCCCTGCTCCCGAGGGCGCATTCCCTGTGTAGCCCCCGTAGGAGCCGGAGTGGCCCCCGATCCAGCCTTTCCCAGCACCCGGGACCAGGGGGTTGATTCCCCGGCCTTCTTGGGAGCGGGAGCGGGCGTGTGCGCAGGCTGACTTTGCGCCGTGGCCGCGGATTTTTTCTTCCCTTCATTATTCTTCTTTCCGGGAGCTTTTACCGGGACGACAGACACCTGCTGGTCGAGGAAGGGGTCACAGCGTGTCCCTCTCCATTCTTCCCATCCTTTTGGGGGATCATCTCTCTGACTTGTTTTAGGAGAGACTCCCCCATTTTAGTGACCTTTTTCTCGACACACGTGACCTGCATTTTTGCTAGCCGCGTCTCCATGCCGGGGTCAGGTTCTTCCTTCCTTACCGGCGTTGCGTTACGGCGGCCTGGCGCTGCAGGGTCCAGGATCTTCCTCTTCCCCTGCACCGAGGGTCGGACCACCACCGGTAGGCCCTCGGCCGCTATTTCTTCGAGGACTCTCTCCCTTGAACTCTCCTCTTGGTCCTCCTCTTCCGCCGGTATCTCTGATCCCGACTCCATGTCGACGCCGACTATGGTCGGTTCCCCGTCCCTCCCCACAGATTCCTCGTCACCCGAGGACTTCAAGGGGTTCGCCTTTCTTTTCTTGGCCTCGCTGCCTCCCCTTGTTCTTGTCACCCGAGCGATAGTCCTTTCTTCATGCTGGGATTGCCTCTGCACTACCTCGAATTGGTAGCGCAGCTCTGGTAGCTCTTTTTGCATCAGCGCATGCTGCGCCTTCACTACCCGGAGGTCCGCGAGTTCTTTCCCCTGCGCGGCCAGTTTACTGCGGAGCGCCTTCATTTCCGCATCCCTCTCTCGACCCGTTATTGGGTCCTTGTATCTTGATACGAGTAGCGTCAAGGCAGCCTTAATCGTAGCCGCCGACCTGTTGAGTCTCCCTCTGAATTCGCCTTTCAGCGCTTTGGATTTCTTTGTAACGAGGTCGACGGCATTGACTGCCTCTAGTTTCGCCGCTGGGAGATGTTCCAGTGGGGCGGCGCCTAGCTGCTCCATTGCCTTTATCTCCTCGTCTCTCCTACTTTTGGAGAGGTTGGCGGGGATAAGCGCGTCTCTTAGGATTCTTAGATCCCTAGCCTTCTCGATCAGCTCCTTTTGTGCTACGCGGAGCATCTTCATATAGTAGTCGCCCGTTGTTGTTGGGCGACCCCTTTTTTCCCTCTCTTGACCGACGTCTGCCAGGGAGGGGCAATAGTCCCTCCCTATTTTCCGGTCTATTATTTCAGTGGTTTCTCTGAGTAACTTTCTTGCCTGCTTGCGTTCTTTCTTGCTGATCTGCGTGGGCTGCGCAGGCTCCCTTCCCTTTTGGTCATCCACCAATATCACGTCGTCGTTGTCCGGCTCTGAGCCGGAAGCGATGACATTCCTCCTGTTCCTCCTCCTCGAACCCGACCGCGATCTAACGTTAGTGTCGGAAAAAGAATACGACCGATATGAGCTCGCGCTTGACTTCAAAGACGAGCTTCTGCCTCTTTCTCTCCTCTAGTCCGCAACGTACTTTGCGAACTTCTCTTCTGGCGGTCTTTTTTCGATCTCCCGGTGGTGTTGAGATCGGATGTGCTGGAGGTGGGTATTGTACCTGTCTCCGTCCCAGTCCTCGCACTCGATGGCGCTGTCAGGCCTCCTCCCTCCTCCGTGCAACCCCTCCGGAGGCCTATTCCCAGCCCCCGGTTGTTGCCGCTCTCGCTCCCTAAGCTCGTCTGGTTGGGGCTAAAGTTTAAAGCACTCATTACTAGTTTGTCCCACTCCCCGCTGCGGCTCCACCACCCAGGGCATGCCCTCACCGGCCGGCCAAAAACTTCCCGACCAGCCGGCGCCCCCGAGTTCCCTCAAGGGAGGTGGCTATGGCGCGGGCTCCCGGAAAATACATCGGGGGCACTGGCCTCCGGCCCCCTACACACCCACGAGCGAGGCCCATCAAGGAGTCAACGCACCGTGGGCTTTCAGGGCTCCGACTCCCGGGGCACCGCAGCGGGTGCTGCCAAGCGGGGGGCCCCACGGATGGGGCCAAGGGTGTCGCGGCCCACCCATGACCTTGCCCGCCGTGGCGACCAGCTGAAATCCCGGGTCGCCAGCCTAGGTAACCGGCGACCCCGCCTGCTCATTGGTCGGCTTAGGGTAGAAGGAGCCCCCACCATACACCTCTCGCGCGCTAAGCTGCACGGGGGCGGATCCGGCCGAGGGTCTCGATCCCGCCCCCCCCCCCCGCCGCCGCCCGCGAAAGAGCAGGGCACAGGGACTCCCCCAGGTGGAGCGATCACCGACCGCTGAGCTACTGAAAACTCGCCGCCGACCCTTACGTCCAGCGGCTAGACCCGCCAGCCCCGACCTCAGATACGTCCGAGCGACCCGACGGGTCTGCCTTCCAGGACGCCCCAGCCCCGACCTCAAAATACGTTCGAGCGGCCTGGGACGACCCTCCGCACCGGCGGCACCGTGGGTCCACGACCCTGGTGTGCAAGCCGCCGATGCGGGCCACTCCTCCGGTTGCTCCGGCACTACGTACCGGGGCAGCCCGAAAGAGGGTTGACCACCTCGTTTCCCACCGGAGCACCGGCATCAGGGAAGCATTAAGGTGGCCCTTCCCGCTCCCTCGGCGAGACGGCATTCCTGCCCGCCTCGGGAACGGGGAGTAAACCCTCCCCAAGCCCCAGATTTCCAAGGCTCACCTCTCTTGCCCTGCTGGAGCACCGGCGTGCAATGGACAAGAGGGAGCCCTCCCCGCTTGACGGGCCCGAATCCCCCGACCCGCCGGAGCACCGGCGTGCAATGGTCGGACGATTTGGGTCCACCCCACGGTTTTTTATCGAGGTTTTCCTTTCTCTAGGCCGGCGGGAGAAGTAGAAACTCCTCCCTAACGGTCCCGGCCGACCAGGCAATTGAAGTCAGGGCCGCCAACCCCTACCGGCTGTTGGAATTCGGGTGGACGGGACTTGGATTTACGCCCGAGTTTCCTCGAGCAACCCGCTCCGTCCAGACCCGAACTCCTAAGCAGGGCAGCCGGTCCCCCGGTTTTCTGTCAGGGTTTTCCTTCCCTTAGGTCGGTTAGAAGAGCAAAGGCTCTTCCCTCACGGTCCCGACCGGCCGGACAGTTGTTTACAAAAGTTGTCTGCCTTGCGAGTCTCCCGAGGGGGACTCCCCGGTCCACGACAGACCTTGCGGACTGCCGTGGGTTACGGTACTGGTGTGCTCGGGTACTCCGGGTTCGCAAAACCCGTAGTGGAGGGCTTCCCCGGGCCCCTAGACTCCGGAAGGACTCCCCCCACCCCCTGGAGGGAAGTTTATACTTCTTACAAATGTGTACATACGTACATATATACATATAATATACATACATATATTAAAATATTTAGTTATAAAATATTAAAGAAATTTAATATTTTTACCTTTATCACAATCTTTATTTTCTAAAACATTATAAATATCGATAAGTCGTAGATCGTCAGTATCATCTTCATTTATTAATGCATTTATTGTTAAAGATTGAGACTGATCCTTGGAAAACTACAAATTACCATTATTTTAATTGCTATTTATCTAATTATAATATTTTTATAACTTTCAAGTACTTCATTTCTACTCGCCCTTTTTGTTATAAAAGATTCTCCTTTTCTTTGTGAAATATAAGGATCGAGAAATTTCATATCCTCATATAACCACCAGGTAGGTCTATAAATCTCATCGGCTGATGCACCGCTCGCTTTTGATTGTTTAGTCTTATTGATATGATCTAAATATTGCGTTCTTAGGTTATTGATCTTCTTTTTTGCGACTTCTATTGTTAATGATTGTTTTGTGATCTCTCTATACTGATCACATATTGTTTGTAAAGCTTTTTTTTCGTTTTACACGGTTATGGTAATCCACAGATTTTACAACATATAAGCACGGATGTTGTTGATATAATAACAACAAAGTTCTAATATTGTCTTTATCCATACTTTTCTGAAAATTAATAATTATATTTGTAAATAAACTCAACTATAACCGAGGCTTATTAAATTTAAAACAAAACCAAAAGTAAGAGCATAAAATCCAAGCTGGATGTAT